TCCATGAAAGCATCTGCGGGCACTTGCAAGACGGAGTGAAGTGGCACTTGCTCGAAGATGTGATTGTCAAAATCCTCGGGCACAAAGACTTGGTCAGCCACTTTCTTCTCCTTCACCAGGTGGTAGTCCTCCACCAAGTGCACGATGAACTCGCCCTTCTGTCCCAGGGTTGCCGGCTCAAACTTCAGGTCATCGTCATACGCGATGATCTTGGCACCATAGTTGATGGTGATGTTGAAGCTTTCCAAAGCTGGCCTGCCCAGCAGGCATGGAGTTGAGCCTTCCATGACATACATCAGGATGTCCCTTCTTTTATTCTTGAAGAAGGTTGGCACCAGGACACAGAGGGTCGTGACGTCGCGGTTGCCATTGCCGAAACGCAATCCCTTCTCACACTTCCGTGCAGGAATGGCTGCGATGTCACAGCCTTTCATCAGCAGTGCCTTCATCAGCCGGCGAAGTTGCTGCATGCCAATGATGACTGATGCAGCTCCACAGTCAAACATGGCAGTGTCATCGGGCTCCGATTCAGTTCCATCCTCGTCGAAGATGTTCACCTCCTCGATGTTGGAGTCCATGACCATGTGGATCTCGTTCTCGGGGTCTGTCTCAGCCTTACGCTTATTCTGAGCTGCTGGACAGTTCGCTGCCATGTGACCAGCACGGCCACATCGAAGACATTTAATGGCTCCGAGGGCAGCTTTTCCTCGTGCTTTGGCTGATGGTCGTGGCATCTGCTTGCTTTTTCCCTTGGACTTGCCTTTCTTGCCTTTTCCTTTGCCAGCACCTCCCACATAGCCCTTCTGGTCGGGGATGATGGCGACGACGGGGTAGTAACCTCGGCTGACTCGCAGCTGATTCAACTTGGATCTGGCCTCCACATAATTGGCCATGATGTCATCATACTCTGAGGCTGCATCCATTGCCAACAGGATGTCATCGTCAGCCTCATGGTGAATTAGGATGTCATCGTCAGCCTCATGGTGAATTGGCTCATCGTCGATCCATGGTGCTTGGCTCATCGAGTCATCTGGTCCAATCTCCCAGGACTCTTCATCTTCATAGTAGGCGTCACCGGGCTCGGGGTCATAGCTCCAGGCGTCCTCGGACACAGTGTATATTGAGTCCTTCATCTTGTTGAAGCGGTGATCTCGGCTTCCTGAAGCACCTTCGGGTGTCTGGTCTTGGCCGACGACGAAGTTCACCGCCTTTCTCACTGAGTCAAGGGACAGCGTTGAGGTCGTAATCGTGCTCATGATCAACTGACGTTGCTGTTGGGAGAGTCCAGCGCGTCGCAAGTAGTACCAGCCAATCACCTTCTTGGGGAGTTGAACTTCGTGGGCAGCAAGCCGTCGAAGCTGTCGCTCGAAGTTAGCTGTGTACTCTTGCATCGTTTCGTTCCTCTTACGCTGCATCTGGATGAAGAAATTCTCGAAGTCCTGAGGGAGTTCAGTGATGGCATCGTACTTGAACACGGCGTCCAACCGCGTGAGAATTTCTTTCACGCCTCTCTCACTCTCCAATACCTCCATGGTGAGGTCCTCGCAGGCGTCCCAGGCTCTGTTCTTCAGGGAGCTCATGACGTTGAAGGCAGTTTCTGTCTTTCTTCCCGCAAGATCCATCTTGCGTTCATAGAGGAGCACTCTCTTGCGGTACTCTTTGTAGTCATTTGCTTTTCCACTGAACTCTGGAATGAGCTCATGTGCTTTGCCGGTATAGGATGAAGATCCTCCGGCTCCATTGGCCGCGGCTGCGGCCGAGGCTCCAGAACTTGCCATAGGTGAAGTCCAGGATGAAGTGTGTGGATGTGTAGCGCTCGCCAATGCAAAATCTTGGTGTCAAAGTCCAGAATCGCTGTCTTGGGCTCCGCTACCAACAACAGGTAGTCAAGGTTGTAGCACACGAAGTCTCAACCGCTTATGACGTACGATCGTGGTCGACCGATCCCACACACTTGTGTGGGGGCTAGGGTGGCGTAGCCGCTGACTCTTTTCACGCTCGAGCAGCCCGCCGCTGCGGGGTTTGGTTAAGTGCATGAACATGCCTCCAAGTGTATGGATACACTTCACAGGGGTAAAAAACTTGTAACAGGGAAGTACAAGTCCTATGCAGCAAGCAGCAGCCAGCAGCAGCAGCAGCAGCCAGCAGCCAGCAGCCAGCAGCAAGCAGCAAGCAGCAGCAGCAGCAGCGGCGTCGTCAGCAACAGCAGCAGCAGCACCAAGCCGCAACAAGTAGCAAAGCAGCAGCTACAAAAGCGGCAACCTCAGGCAGCAGCAGACAGCAGCAGCAAGCAGCAGAGCGGCAGCAGCAGCACCGTTTTTCACCAAAACCAACCACGTTCACACGTTCAACCAACCCCCGCTACACGGCGCAACTGGGAGTCGAACCGTCGGGGGGGGGAGGGAGGGGGGGTAAGCGTGATATATCAAGCTTTAAGGCGCACAGTTCATCCCACTACCAATTGCTAAAGCAAAGAAGAACTCAGCTAGCATGCTAGCTTTCGTGACTTTGCCAAACCACACATGTCCAAGACAGTAAATTCAAACACTTTGCTCTCAGGTAATGAAGATTCATCAACTGACGAGGCGCAGCAGAAATGTTGTGTGATGCATCCACAAGAAAAAACGAGCAAATGATCATGCTTCCGACGAAGCTGACCATGCTTTCGACAAAGCTCGTCAATGAATCCTAAATACAAATACTAAATCAGTGGATGTTTTGCAAAAACGCATCCAAAATCCCATGCGTGTCATCTTGATTCTCCAATAATTACATGTGTTTCCGCTATCCAGGATCATCATCCAAAATTCAAGTGCATGATGTCTTTGACATCCTGGTTTTGAACGCACACCCCAAAATCCAAAATACCAAAAAAACACCAACAATTTCCAACATGCAACAACCCCTCCACTAATGCCAAAACGCCTGCAGCTGGGAGTTGAACCACGGGGGGGGAGGGGGGGGGGGGGCGCGTGGGTGATATACCACACTAGGGGGGGGGGCCCGGCCCCCCCCCCTTAGTGTGATATATCAAGGTTTAAGGCACGCAGCTCATTCCACTACCAATTGCTAAAGCAAAGAAGAACTCAGCTAGCGTGCTAGCTTTCGTGATAGCACTGGCGATGGCCTCCAACCTAATAGCACTGGCTATGGCCTCCAACCTGAAAGCAATGGCCTCGAACCTGAAAGCAATGGCCTCCAACATGATAGCAATGGCCTCCAACCCAATAGTGATGGCCTCCAACCCAACAGCGATAGCCTCCAACCTGAGCCATGGCCTCCAAACTAATAGCGATGGCCTCCAACCTAATAGCACTGGCAATGGCCTCCGAGCTGAAAGCGATGGCCTCCAACCTAAAAACAATGGCCCCCAACCTGAAAGCAATGGCCTCCAACGTGATAGCAATGGCCTCCAACCAAATAGCGATGGCCTCCAACCCAACAGCGATGGCCTCCAACCTAATAGCGATGGCCTCCAACCCAATAGCAATGGCGTCCAAGCTAATAGCACTGGCGATGGCCTCCAACCTGAAAGCAATGGCCTCCAACCTGAAAGCAATGGCCTCCAACATGATAGCAATGGCCTCGAACTCAATAGCGATGGCCTCCAACGCAACAGCGATGGCCTCCAACCTAATAGCAATGGCCTCCCACCTAATAGCGATGGCCTCCAACCTAATAAGGCTGGCAATGGCCTCCTCCAACCTGACAGCAATGGCCTCCAACCTGAAAGCAATGGCCTCCAGCATGATAGCAATGGCCTTCAACCCAACAGCGCTGGCCTCCAACCTAATAATAGTGATGGCCTCGAACCTAAGAGCGATGGCCTACAACCTAATAGCGATGGCCTACAGCCTAGTAGCACTGGCGATGGCCTCCAACAAGGGCCCCCGACGTAATAGCAATGGCCTCCAACCCAATAGCGATGCCCTCCCATCCAACAGCGATGGCCTCCAACCCAACAGCGACGGCCTCCAACCTAATAGCAATGGCCGCCAACCTATGGCCTCCAATCTAACAGCGACGGCCTCCAACCAAATAGCGATGGCCTCCAACTCAACAGCGATGGCCTCCAACCCAACAGCGATGGCCTACAACCTAATAGCGATGCCCTCCAACCTAATAGCACTGGCGCTGGCCTCCAACCTGAAAGCAATGGCCTCCACCCTACTAGGGATGGCCTCCAACCTAATAGCGATGGCCTCCAACCTGAAATGGCACAAAGCACCTCTCTCTTTCAGCAGCCGCAAAAAGCATGCTTTACAGAGACTCCAATCATGCCAAGCAAAAGTCTCATCCTCATCTCCCCACAACTTTGCCAGGCGTTCAAATATTGTGCCAGATTTGACTCCGGCTGAGAAGCGTGGCCATTCTGACCCCGAAGTGGGCCCACATCCGCATATCTAAAGAAAAGGAACGGCAGCACATCTGGCACTGATGTGATGCAATGGCAGCACCCCGCAAGAAGCTACTTTCAGCAATAATCACCTGTGCATACTTCTGGACTGATGCGTTTGCGCCTAGGCAGTAGTTATAGTTTAATTCAACGTCAAATGCATATCATTCCGACAAGGGCACCTTCCGGCATACAGGCAAACCCACTGTTTCGAGAAGCTACTGGGGCTATGAAGCAGTGGACGTGGAGGAAAAGGTGTTGCTATCCAAACACACGGACATGAACAATGGTAATGCCCATTGTATATATCTCTAGAAAGTCAAAATCCAAAGGTCCATTCGGACCTCTTTCAAGGAGCATTGCAAGGAGAAAATAGTGCTCAGCTTACTTTACTTCCAACCTGTCTTCAATAAAACTAACGGTTGAAAGATGATTTTGAGGACATTCAGCCGCAAATACTGGACAAAAGGCACCCTACCGTGGCAAAGTGGAACTGTAAACAACACTTGCCAAAAAATCATGGCCTCATGTGTCAAACTTGACAATGGACATGTATTCCTGTTCGCCTTTCATACATGCTTCTTGATACTCTTCAGTACTGCTCCTGCTGTGCCACCGTGAAAGCATTGCTGAGCTGTTGGAGCTTCTGCCTTAGTTTGCTGCGTTGCGAGTGAAATTGACTAGCATAAATACGCATATGTATGGTCCAGCAAGAGGCTAAAAGGAATGATTTGAAATTGTCAATAGCGTGTGTTCTACTGGATTAACAAATACTTTTGACAGTCGCAACATGACATTGCCTTTACCATCCAGGTCCGACATGAAAAACTTGACCTGAGTCTCCAATCCTTTTGGTTGCAGGGCCCCTCAAAAACGATACTTTCTCTGGCCCGAGCAAGCCCCTCACCAAGTGGCTTCACGGTTTCCATTCGATAGAGCTTGTCAAGGGGAGCGAAGGGGTCCTACGGAACAAATGAAGGTGAAGGCGTAGAGCAAAAAGCTTTGCATCGTTCTGCCTCGTGAAGGTCGGCCTCTGGCCCAACGTCGATGTCATCCGGTTGCAAGGCAAGTCCGTTGCCTCTAAATCGGAAACCAACGTTTGCAGCTAGTAACAAGGACGCTACTAGGAACAAAGGGCATCGCTGGTAGGAGCAAGGACGCTACTAGGGGCTCTTGGCCTTACTACTAGGAGCAAGGACGCTACTAGTAGCTCCTGGCATTAAGTTCTGCGACTTTGTATTCAGCGCCGAAAAAGCTTAACAGCCAGCCTTGAGCCGATGCCTTGAGCCTTGAGAAACAAAACTGGAAACAAAGGGCCTAGTAGTGCTGTGCAAGGGCAATGGTAAACATACTAGTGGGGCTTTTTTTATTGAACAATTGTTTTCCTTTCTTCCTTTCCTTTCGTAACAGCGTTTCTTTTCCATGTGCGCTTTTCCTTCTAAGTCTTGATTGCTTCGGACTGGACATGTTTCAAAAGGCGAGGAGCATTGCCGACTTCAAGAGATTTTCCACCGCCCCGGCGTTGCCAAAGTTTGCAGAACTCTGGCGGAGCATTCCAAGCTTCCTCAGAGCCTGACATGGGTTCGCAGAAGTCAGCATATTTTCAGCGGAAAATGCAGCCGACGAAGAGGATGAGATTGAAGGAATCGAAACACAACACGAGAAAGCAGCTAAACCAACAAAGTAGGCTTGGAGATAGATGCTCCTGCAAGCTCTCGCCCACAACCAACTGCGCCTTCTCTTGAAATTCGATGCTTGGCTTCAGATCTTTCTGCTTGCAGTTTAAGCGCAAGATTTCCATTAGCTCCTGCGCTTCTCAGTCTACATGAGGGACCAAGAAGTTACCGACTGTCCTGGTCATTGTAGTCTTCGAATCGGAACGCCATCTCTAAGGGAAATCGCCTTGCCAATCCAGGTCAAACGATTCGCAGGGAAGCTTCTAGTTACTAGAAAGCTCTATTACTAAGAAGCTTCAAAGACATACTGAAAAGCTTCATTGTTACTACAGGTGAAACGATTCCCAGGGCAAATCGCCTTGCCAATCCAGGGTTCTGATTTCGCAGCATTGCCGACATGGGTTCCTGGCGCTCTTCAGCCGTGCGCTAAGCCGCTAAGCTGCAGTGAGAGGGCTCCTCATAGCCCAGCAGCAAGACCGCGATGTCATCATTCTCCGTTCCTTGGATCTTCTCCACCAACACATCCAACACCTGCAACAGCAACAGCGGGGTAGGCCGTAGCCTACTTAATTAAGGAATAGCTACCTAGCTAGTAGTAGCAAGGTAGCTACATACTACTGGACGCAGATCAGATTTGGCTCCTTGATTTTTAGGGAAACTTAACTAATAGCGATTTGGTGAGGCTTGATCTTTGTCTTTCGCAACATCAGAACCATCTAAAGATCTAAAGAAAGAACAACCAAAAAAACACACATATAAAGAAAACCTTCAATCTAGAGTCATAAGGTCGGCTTTGGACTCCTTAAAATCTCCGCAACCCTGTAGCAAGCTCAGGACGGCTATTCTGCTCCAGCTCTTCGTTGGATGCATGCTGTCATCTTCCTTTTATTTCGTTTCTTCTTAAGCGTTCTCATCACCCTGGGGCTCTTGGCCTGCTTGCCATAGAGGTTATCATCCAAGTTATAAGCCTCGTCAATGACCAGGACTTTCCCTGCAGCCGACCTCACAGAAATAAAGCCAAGACTAAACATATTTTGAGAAACGAGTCCACAAAGGAGTGACCAAAGCAACAAAGTATACCCGTGCCCACTTCTACCACAAACTTCTGGAACCCTGTTCTTCATTTCCTTCTTCGTTTCTTTCTTTCTTTCTTTTCTTTTTGTTTCTTCTTTAGACCGAACTTTGCACCCTTTTCTTTCTTCCTTTCTCTTCAGCCTGAGCTTTGGAATAAAGAATGCCAAGGCACTGAAGAATGCTGAGGACCTTTTGCTGCGCTTCTCCGACAACTGCACCACCCATGTCACCAGCAGTCTTGAAGACCACTTCGCCAGAAGTCAAAAAGCCCAAGTGCTTCAATATTTCTCCATACATGCTGGCGCAGGTGGTTTTGCCTAGCAGAATCTCTGATCACAAGTTGTTTCGAGTTGAAGCATGTTGAAGTGTACGCCCTCTTAGTGCAGGCCATCGCTACTAGGGTGGAGCCCATCGCTAGTAGGTTTGTCATAAACGACCTTCCCAAAGCGCCTGTGCCAGGATTTCCCAGAAAAAGCCGATTCAGGAAAACGGGTAGCGGAGCTTGACCGTCAAGTTCACGCTGATAGTTGGTGCCGCACACAGTAATGAGCTCCTTAACGGCCTCTTTTATCTTCTTCCAGCCGATCTTCTTCTCCATTTTATCCAGAACAGTCTTCAATTTGGCGTTACCGCGAGGGTCCTGCGCTGCTTTGCGACTTTGGAAGTCAGTCCAGACCTATTCATACTGGCATGTTGCGTCCTCTCCAACCACGTCAGCAAAGCGAAGAATCCTCGGCTTCCCCATTGGAGGAAACGGATGCCAACCCGTGCGTGCTGGGCGGGGAATGGATTCAATTCTCTCTTCTTTCACGTTTTTAAAGGTTCGTAGCTAGCTGGGAAGCTACCAGTAGCAGGACGCAGGAAAGCTCAGGCTTCTTCAAGGAAACTCCACCCCGGCCCTGAAGGCGGCGGGGACTCTGGATTCAATATTGATTTCTAGTTAGAAGCCCTAGCGCGATTCATTTTGTTCCTAGATATTTGTTGAGACTTTGCTTATAAGTATGCTGTCTTACCTGACAGTATTAGACTCGCTCCAGGAATGGACGTGGCCGACCCTTACTGTTGGTGCTTCACATGTGAGCAGCGTTCGTTCTTGATCAAACAATGAGTGCGAGGTGCATGCTCGATGGCTCAAAGTCCTCCCGGCTCATGGCAACAGCTGTGGCCGTTTCGATCTTCTTTCGCACCTCCAAACACAATCGCAATGGCCTCCAGCGCTACTAGGGGCTCCTGGCCTTACTACTAGTGCAAGAAGCTACTAGGGGCTCCTGGCATCGCTACTAGGAGCAAGAACGCTAGTAGGTTGGAGGCCATTGCGCAACACACACCATCGCTTAATTAAGAGAACTGTAGCGCTTGGCGTCTAATGCCCCCTGACTACTTACAACAACACGACTTCTACTAGTACACTTTGTTCGCTTATTCTTTCAATTCTTTCTTGCGGTTTCCTGACCTCAGCCACTTGAAGACTTTTTGGGGTCCAAGCTGGTGCAACGCCTTAAACTATTCTTTCCGCCATTGCTTTCTCTCTCCTTTTCTACTTTAAATCCTTTTCAACGTTTCTTTGGGAAAAACGCCCGAAACCAACGGAACCTCTCTGGCATTGCCGAAGCCCTTCTTCCCTCGACTCTTCAAAATCCTGTGAAGATAAGCCAACCCTCAGGTTCATTGTAACACCAATTCCTCCTATAGCTTCTAAAATAGATTTAAACGAGAAACTGTAAAGTGCTTGGCTCGTTGCTGGAATGCCAAACAGTGGCGTCCTCCTCACTGCGACGCTCGTCAGGCGAGGGTCTTCGTCGGTCCACCCGCGCTGCTGCATGTTCTGGCACCAAATCCGGAGATGGAAACATGTCAAACAGGACGCTCTGAAAGTAAGAACGCTACTAGGGGCGCTCCTGGCCGCTAGTAACAAAGGGCATCGCTACATCTTCGCCAAGTCTCTGAGACAGCTCCGCTTCATCAAAATCTTCAAAAATCACTTCATGAAAGCGGCTTTTCAATCCTGTATTGTAGGCGAAAAACTTGTTGTTCATGTCATCCTGGCACATCCAGCTGACCTAAATCATTGAAGCTACAACACATCCAAAGCATGATGGGCACTTGATTCATGTCCTCGTATCCTGCCAGAATGACGGTCAACCGATCCCGCTCGTTCTCGGTGAGGGTGACCAATTCATTCACAATTGGTGCACCTTTGAACTTATCCCCAAGCGGATCCAAGTCGTATGCCTCGTCAATGAAGAGCACGCCATCCATGGCGGCTTGCGCAAGCTTTCTGAATTCATCGATCCCGTCGTCCTTCACCTTCTGTGCCCCGCATTCCTGGAAAACATTCTGGCTTCGCAATTGAGAATCGTGCAAGACAGCTGCAAATAATCTGGCTACAGTCGTCTTCCCTGTTCCAGGGTTTCCAAGGAAGCAATAGTTCCTTGGCAGGAACGGCATTGACAACATTGACGGTCAGATGAGAACTAACTAATATCAAATGCGACAAGTGAATGCGCCGTAAGAACGCGCCGACAATGTCACACGGCAACAATGGCAAGTTGCGAAAGTCTATTACGTGCAGCTCAAGAGACAAGGCCATGGCATTCGCCTGGCGAAAGCAACTGGGCGCGAAGCATATCTTACGCTCGCTTTTTAGGTCTTGGAAGTGACAACGAAACAAAAGAAACAACAGTGACAACAAAATAGAGTTGCTCTATTAAATTCGATTTCTAATAGCTTCTTGTTCCTAGTAGTAAGGCCAGGAGCCCCTAGTTGCGTCCTTGTTC